GTGAAAATATACATAGCCAAAGATACACCATTTCAAAAATTTCTGCATGCACAGTTCAGTGACATTGATTACATTCTTCCAGTTGTGCTGCTATTCCTCACTTTAGATGAAGGTTTACAGAACAAAATAGTTTCTTATTAAACAGTTAGTACACATATTGGCCTATGAGTATGGTTAACAACCCCACTACATGTCAACACTGTCCTTACTCAACCTTGGATTCCCTATCACCAGCTTTCCTGTCCCATTCTGCCTTCTAGTCCTTGTCCCTGGACTGCTGTGCCTCATTAGCCCCTTTTTGTTTTATGGGGCTGTCCAATCCCCAGCTGAACGGTGAATCTCGGAAGTGACTTCACCACTGAGCTAAAAGGGTGTCTGGGGGCCATACTCTCAGGGTTTCTCCAGTCTCTTTCAGGCCAGTAAATCTGGTCTTTTTTGTGTGTGTTAGAATTTTGTTGTACATCCTTCTCCAGCTCTGTCCAGAACCCTCTGTTGTTATCCTGGTCAGAGCAGTCAGTGGTGGTAGCTGGGCACCATCTAGCTGTACTGGACTTAGTCTGGTGGAGGCCTTGGTAGCTGTGGTCCATTAGTCCTTTGGACTAATCTTTTCTTGTATCCTGTTCTCTTCATTCTCCCTTGCTCCCAAAGGGATAAGACCGGTGGAGTATCTTAGATGGCCGCTCACAGGATTTTAAGACCCCAGACGCTACTCACCAAGGTAGAATGTAGAACATTGTCTTTATAAACTGTGTCATCCCAGTTGAGCTAGATGTTCCCTAAGACCATGGTCCCCACAGCCCTCCGCTCAGCAATTCAGTCCCTCAGGGGGTTTGGATGTGTCTATGGAGCTTCCATGACCTTACCTTGTACAAGTTGTGCTGGTTTCCCCAGTATTGTGTACTGTCTCACCCTTCACCAAAGATACCACTTATCTGTTGCCTATTTAATATTTCCCCCCAACTCCTCCCATCCCTCCTAACCAACAAAGATTGTTACTTTTTGTGTATAAACTTTTTCATGGGTTTTTACAATAGAGGGCTCATACAGTATTTGTCCTTTTGTGGTTGACTTATTTCACTCAGCATAATGTCCTCCAGTTACATCCATGTTATGAGATGCTTCACAGGTTCATCATTGTTCTTTCTCGTTGCAAAGTACTCCGTTGTGTGTATGTACCATAGTTTATCCATTCATCTGGTGACAGGCATCTAGATTGTTTCCATCTTTTTGCTATTGTGAACAATGCTGCCATGAACATGGGTGTGCATATGTCTATTCAAGTGACAACTGTTATTTCTCTAGGATATATTCCTAGAAGTGGGATTGCTGGATCGTATGGTATTTCTATTTCTAGCTTTCTGAGGAAGCGCCATATCATTTTCCAAAATGGTTGTAACATTTTGCATTCCTACCAACAGTGCATAAGAGTTCCGATCTCCCTGCAGCCTCTCCAACATTTGTTATTTCTAGTGTTTTTGATTCATGCCAGTAATGCCAGGGTGAGATGGTATCTCACTGTGGTTTTAATTTGCATTTCTTTAATGGTTAGGGATCGTGAGCATTTCCTCATGTGTCTGTTGGCCGCTTGAATGTTTTCTTTGGTGAAGTGTCTGTTCATTTCTTTTGCCCATTTTTTAATAGGATTATTTGTCTTTTTGTTGTAGAGGTGTTGGATTTTCTTGTAAATTATGGAGATTAGAACTTTGTCTGACTTGTACTGTCCAAAAATTTTTTCCCAGTCTGTAGGTTCTCTTTTTACTCTTTTGGTGAAGTCTTTTGAAGAGCATAGGTGTTTGATTTTTAGAAGATCCCAGTTATCTAGCTTATCTTCTGGGGTTTGTGTGTTGATGGTTATGGTTTGTATCCTGTTAATGCCGGGAATTAGGGCCTATAGCGTTGGTCCTATTTTTTCTTCTATGACCTTTACAGTTTTTGGCTTTATATTTAGGTCTTTGATCCATTTTGAATTAGTTTTTGTATATGGTGTGAGGTATGGGTCCTGTTTCATTTTTTTGCAGATGGATATCCAGTTTTGCCACCACCATTTGTTAAAAAGACTGTCTTTTCCCCATTTGATGGACTTTGGGCCCTTGTCGAAGATCAGGTGACTGTAGGTGGATGGATTTACATCTGGGTTCTCAATTCAGTTCCATTGGTCTCATACTAAGTAAATTTTGACACATAGGCACAAAGATGTTTAATAAAATAACAGCAATGGCTAAAATTTACTGGGCATTTTCTATTAATTCAGGCCAGTTCTTAGTATTCTGTAGATATTAACTCTCTTTGTCCTCTTGGTAATCCTATGATTGTTGTTTTTAGTTACTGCAAGTTGATTCTAACTCATGACAACCCAATGAGTGTCAAAGTAGAACTGTGCTCCATAGGGTTTTCATGGCTGTGACCTTTTGGAAGTAGATTGCCAGGACTGTCTTCTCAGCTGCCTCTGGGTGGGTTTGGACCTCCAACCTTTCAGCTAGTAGTCGAGCACTTAACCATTTGCACCACCCAGAAACCCCTATTGGTCCTATTATTTTCCCCAGTTTATAGAGAAATGTTTAACTTGCCAATGCTCAAACAATTAATTATTAGTGGAGACAGGATCTGAACCTGGAGATCTGAACCCTGGCTCAGAGTATACACTCCACTGCCTTTTATACTTAGGAATATCTTGTAGCCATAAGGACATGAAAGTTGACTTTTATTTACTTAACATGGAAATCTTTCATGTCAAAATATAAAGATACTGCAAAAAGGCAAGTAAAAAATACTTATTTTATGGTTCTGTGTAAGGTTAAGAAGTGTGTATATGAGTGTGTGTATGTGTACTTGTGTATCTGTCTGTTCTTTAATTGACTGATAAGTAGATAGCTGCCATCAAGTTGCTTCCAAATCTTGACAACGTTGAGTAAGACAGAACAAAACATTGCCTAGTTCTGTGTCATCCTCCAAACTCCAGCATGTTCAAGTCCATCACTGTGGCTATTGTGCCAATCCATCTCACTGTGGGTTTCCCTTGACCTTGCTGGCCCTCTACTTCACTAAGTGTAATGTCCTCCCAGCAAGTGATTCCTCTTGATGATGCATCCAAAGCAAGCAAGCTACCCCAACTTAGTATTCCTTCTGTTTTATCTTTCAGAATCTTTATGAAATTTCTCCCATAATAGTCTGAATTATATGGCTTCCTGTTCTTCTCCATAGACGCCCATCAAATAATATTCTCTTGGAGGTTCTTATGGATTTGAGTTAATAAATGTGATGCTCTTTATGCTCTTGATCTCATAATAAGTAGGAACAGCTCGAGACTGATTGGAAATGACCTACACTTCAAGTGGGTTTTGGAAATATAAATTATTTGTTTCGCTATGTAGTTTGGACTCTGAGTAATTTTATTTGCAGGTAGAACATAATGTTTTATCTAGATCTTACGAACAGTATACTGCACATGTGTAACTCGATAAAACATGAGATGTATGATTTGCAAGAAACGTCTTCAGAAAGCATTGATGAAGACAAAGATGTAGATAATCTGCTAAGCGAAGTGGTTGTATGTTTATCTTTTTTGAGTAATGAATAATTGTGTTTTATTCATTAAGAAGTGGTCTTATAAACTACATTCATGTATTTAAAAATTCTTTAATCATCAGGATGTGGCTGAAAATTCTTCAGATCCAGTACTTGATCTTCATATGTCCTTGGAGGAACTGTACGCCCAGAATCTCCTGCAACAACAGGACGAGAAAGTGCCTCCAGTGGACTTGAGCATGGGGCCTGCTTCTCGCTTTGCCTTAAATGATTACACACCTGCAAACGCTATTGAGCAACAATACAAATGTGAAAACACAGGAGCATGGCCTGAATCTCAGCTACCAAATGAGGGTATATCAAGTGCAGAACTTGGTTCTTCTCTGCTCCCTGATTCAACTGGAAAGGTAACATTTTAAAGATAACTTTGTTGTGGAGGGGAGTGCAGTGACGGGTAAGAGTAGTCTGGTTAATCTTCTCATATGGAAAGAGTGCTCTCCTGACTCTGAGATTATCCAGAGGCAACCTATGAACTTGTTTTAGTCATAGGTTCTTGCTGAAAAAAGCACAGCCAATCAGAGCACATACGTGAAGCTGAAATCACACTCCAAAGTCTAGTTTTCTTTCCATGTGACTTGTGTTTTCTTTCTATCAGGGCTCCAAGTACTTACTTGAACAGAGCCCCCTGGCCTGTCCTGCTGAGTGTGTCATGATCCGGAATGCATCCAAAGACTCTTTGGAGAGGACTATTACCATAGCAAAAGGCAATTCCAGCCTAGGTAAGTTCTTTATTTTCTATGTATAGCCACTCCTCCAGCTTCCTTACTCAGGGGAGATATTGAACATGTAGAAGGTTTTCAATATTTTATCCTATAGCTAAGAAAGTAGATGATCAGAATTTTCCTGTCCTTTTATGGTCTTTTTATATACTCATTATTTTTCCAGAAATGGTTAATAGCCTTGTTTATTTCAGGCTAGCTTAAATTCCCTCACTCTCTTAATTATTTAAAAAGTATTCGTAAGCCTCATTCCCATTCAAGTACAAGATATACGAATTGTTTGTATATGAAACAGCAAATCAGAAGAGGAATTCTTAGAAAATGAAAAGTCGGCAATTTAGAATTCTAAATTCTTTGCAAAAGTAAATTATTAGTTTCTTTGAATGTTACCGATTATGCATAAGTCAGTTTGTGTTTAATTTCCTTCATTCACTGAAATAAAGCCTAAAAAGACAGCCAGGTGTGCCACCACCAAAATATAAAGGCATTTATTCAATAGTTCTTCCCAGGTGGCAGGAGTTTTGTGTTCTCTGTTACCCATGAAGTGTTGCGGCTGGTTAATAATCGTGGATGGAACCCTCTGGATTGGGCAAAGAAGACTTCCCATAGAAGTAAAATCCTAATTGCAACAAGTAAAACTATTTGGAGGCAGACACATTTGTTCTCTCATTGAGTTAAGCAGTCATGTGACTCAGCTCCGTCCCTAGTTCTTGCTGCTGATAAGCAAGATGATAGATCAGTTGCTCCGAATCGCCAAATGCAGTGCAAGACACTTGGTCGACTCCCTGTCAGAGATCCTTTTCCTTCTATGATGTAACCAACCAAGAAATAATGTCAACACAGAGAATAAAACTTGCCAGTTCATTAATTTCTGATCTACATTTCTAAGCAGGTTAGTTATGTATTTTAAGTAACATTGTATTCTTTCATTAGAGTCACTGTTTCACGTGGAAAATATAAAGGTCTTGAGCATCTCCAATCTTTTTGAATTCCTCATAGCTTACATTCTGAGCAAGGATGGCCACCCTATTTGGTATCAGGACCTCTGGTCAGGGAATAGTGATTTACTCATATGCGCCTGGGACTGGCCTTCATCAAACTTGTAATGAGAGACTGTCTTTTCATAAATTTGTTATAGTCATGCCCCACCTTTAACATCAGGCCTGTAAAATTTCATAAAATAGAATCCCAGGTATATTATATTGCATTATCCTATAATCTTGTTTATAATCTTGTTATAGCGAACCTGTAGGACAGGGTAGAACTGCCCCATCTGGTTTCCAAGGCTGTGTAAATCTTTACAGAAGCGGACTGCCACATTTTTCTCCCTCGAGCTGCTGGTGGGTTCGAACCAAAGACATTATGGTTAATAGCCGAATGCTTTAACACTGTGTTACCAGGGCTCATCTATCTTGTCCATAGCTTATTAAAATTATATCAATTATATTTCCCAGTATTTTAATACCTTTACTGGTTTTCATTTGTTCAACTCGAGATTTAATTCTTTTGAAAGCAAAAGCTATGCCAACAAATTTATTTTAGATTTGATTTTTCTTTTTTTTTCACTTAATGGCATTAGCAATGACTTGCAGTAAAATTTTCGGTTCAAATCATGCCATGTCAACTTTTAAGTTTTGATTTAAAAAAACATACTATATGATTAAGCACTTGGGGGAAAAAAAACAGTATGCATATGCTTTCTACCATATAAGGAAAGTCATTTAAATCTGGATAGCTTGATTTTGGAAACCCTGGTGGCGTGGTGGTTAAGAGCTATGGCTGCTAACCAAAAGGTCAGCAGTTCGAATCTACCAGCACCCCTTGGGAAACCCTGTGGGGCAGTTCTACCCTGTCCTATAGGGTCGCTATGAGTCAGAATTGACTCCACGGTAATGGATTTTAACTTGATTTTAAAGTTAATGCATAAATGAGTCCTTGTGTTTGCTTTGTGAAAGTAAGCCGCTTATTTACAAGTGTGAAATCACAGTTCCCTAAGTTTACCATCCAGATTGGAATGTAAAGTGTAAGCAATTTTTACATGACTTTTCCTCTTCATGGTCTATTATCTGAATTCATTTACATCCCCTAAAAGTTAGTAGGGCTTCATCCCTGGCAGTTTGATTCCCTGAAACTTGAGATTCCTCTCGCACTTTGGAGTTGAAACTGTGTGCCACAGTGAGAACTTTTCTCTGTTACCTCATTTGACAGGAGGTATTAAGGATCAGATTTCTGCAGCACTTATTAGAGTCACTAAATGTAAAACTTGTCGCCCTCAAGTCAATTTCAACTCACAGTGACCCTATAGGACATAGTAGAACTGCCCCGTAGGACTTCCAAGGAGTGGCTGGTGGATTTGAACTGCTGACCTTTTGGTTAGCAGCCAAGGTCTCAACCGCTGCACCACTAGGGCCCCAAGAGATGTAAAGGAATCATGAAATAAGACCTATTTTTAAAATCTGTGTAAAACATTACAATATTAATTTAATTGAAGCATTCAGTTAAGCCTTAACGTAGGAAGGTGTTGCCTTTACAACTTGAAGTAACAGAAAGTGTGACAAATAGTATTTTAGGAAATCTAAACAGAGGCCGGCTCTGTAGGAATAGGAGAGTATGTTATGAAGAGATCTATCACTGAAAACATTTTCTTAGATCCATAGTCTTTTCTTAACCGGCTGGATGAGGTAGTTGGCAGTTTTAGCCTTCTGGCTAATTTATTCTTTCTGTAGTGATGATCAGAAGAAATTATTAGTAAATGAAAGGTTTGTATAAATGCTGTCATAATCCATTTGTTTTGATTTCAGGAATCACTTTTTTTAACTTTGTTGAATTTAAAGGGAGAGTGTTATGTGCAGATATGCACACATGTGTACATACGTGCATATAGTGAGCATTAAAAAATCTGATCTTGATTTTTGGTAGGTCTGTGGTCATTGAATTATGTTGTATTAGGGATGGAACGTAAAAAGGAAAGGAACGGAAGTTATTATTGTCTTCTCTTCACTGATTAGGTACAGAAGTATAGACAAACTTAGTAACTTCTCTAAAAATAAAACCTATTACTGCTTTGAGTCTGACTCAAAGCAACCCTAGAGGACAGAGTAGAAATGCCTCCATAGGATTTTCTAGGCTATAATCTTTATGGAAGCAGACTGCCAGCCACATCCTTCTCTCCCAGAGAGGCTGGTGGGTTTGAATCACCAACCACTCGGTTAGCAGCTGAGCACTTAACCACTGTGCAACCAGGGCTCCTGCTCTGAAAATTCTCAGCCCTTAAGCGCTGGAGCTAGGACTCAAACCTCAGTTCTTCTCTGGTTCTCACATAATGTACAATATACTCAGTGCTTGAATTACCCAAGAAAATATTCAGAGTGCTGTAATAGCAAGCTTCATTTAGAGGCTGAGTTAAGATTTGTAGTTAGCCTTTAGAGAGCAGTGTAGCTTTGGATTGGGATAGAGATTTATTTTAAATATTATCTTGTGAGTTTTCTTTTGTTTCTAGTTTTGCAACTGTAATTTATTGCGTGCTTTGTGCCAGATGCTTTGAAAGTTACTCTATATACGTATTTCTTGCTTAATTCTTTAAACAACTCTAAGTGTGGGCATTATTGTTCCCATTTTACAGATGAGTAGACTAAGGCCCAGTGTGGAAGTTAAGTCAGTTGTCCAAGGCCACACTGCTTGGAAGAGGTGGAGCTCAGATTTGAACCCAGGTCTCTGGCTCCACAGTACATAATTTGGACTGTCCTACTATATTTCTTCCAAGAAAAAAATTGAGCATTCTTACACGTTACTACCAAGATTTAGTGGCCATTACCTCAAAGTTGTTAAACGCTGAAAATTACCCATTGGTGCAACGGAGGTGTAAGCTGAGCTCATTCATGTCAGCCTGTTGGTTTATACAGTTGACATGACCTGACAGTCCTAGCAGTTGATGGAGCTGTGTGTTAAATATGCTGTGAAAAATGAATTCAGAGGTCATGTCAGCAATAGTTCATGATGCCATGTTCCATGTCTGTGGTTTGCTTTATATGGAGAGTGTGGGCTGAAATTGAGAACAAGGTGGTGGGTTAGATTCCCAGTATGGGCCACTTTGTTAAATTTTGTTTGGCCACACATTTCAGTCTTACCTTAGTAGAGTTGCTTGGTGGGTATTGGTGAAAAAGGTGGCTTCATCGGGGCAAAATTAGGACACTTAATGAAACGTTTCAGAGCCGGTCTCTTTGCTCATGAGAAATCCACCTGGGATGAAGATACTTGTTTGGTGGTTTACACTAAACAGGTTGTCTTTTTAATGCATTTAAAAATCGTTAGTATGAGTTTTAACAGCATATTTGAAATAGATTTGGTCATGGTTCCTTTCTGTCAGAAAACGACAATTAGGAGACTTGTTGCCCATATCCTGGCATGAAACGTTAGGCTAGAAACATAAGCAAGATTGTTCTTAAAAAATGTTTGAAGTATTGTGTCTAATTTGATGAAATGGTTAAGCGTTCTGCTACTAACCAAAAGATCGGCAGTTCACACCCACACAGAGGCTCTGCCAGAGAGAAGCCCTGGCAATGTAATGTAAAGATTACGGTCTAGGAAACCTTATGGGGCAGTTCTGCTCTGTCCTGTTAAGTCACTTTAGGGCCGCTATGTTGGCCGTTGTTGGAATCCACTCAATGGCACACAACAGAATTAATATTTGGAAAAAGAATTTTTCATCTTTTTTTTTTAAATAGGTAAAAAACCTAAAAAGGAATTTGTGACTATGTCAAAGAAGGTTGTTATAATTACCATTATACCTTTATATATGCCCTTACCTTGTTTAATTATAGAATCTTGTTTGGAAGGAACTTTTAGCACTTGATTTTAAGTGAACTCTTGGGTATTATGGAGGCCTGGTGGTACAGTGGTTAAGTGCTCAGCTGCTAACCAGAAGGTTAGTGGTTCGAACCCACCAGTTGCTCTGCAAGAGAAAGATGTGGCAATCTGCTTCTGTAAAGATTTACAGCCTTGGAAACTCTATGGTGCAGTTCTGCTCTGTCCTGTAGGGTCACTATGAGTCATGATGGCAATGAGTATGTATTTTATGTGAAGCTTTAAAAATAATTTCAAAAGATTTTATGTTTTTGAAAGAATCAGGGTGAGGAATAGTGTGCAGAGGAACTATTAATTGAGCTATGGTGTGCTGAGGAGGCCTTTTTGAGGAAGTGATATTCATGAGTGAGAAGGAGGTAGCTATTAGCTAGGCAAGATATGCAGGAAGAGAGTGTCAGGCAAAGACTCTGAAATGGAGAGATACTAGGTGTGTTTACATTTCTGAAAGAAGGCATGAAATAGGAGCACAAGGAGGGCAATATGGCACAAAGGAAGGTTGTGTGGTAGGGAGGAGCCTAGCCACCACTGCTTTATAGACTCTACTAAGCAAATGTGTTGTATACTAACACAGTAGCAAGCTACTAAAGGTTTGTAAGCAAGGTAGTGATGTGATATGATTTATCTTCTTTTAACATTCTGTCTGCCGTGAAAAGAATGCATTGGTGGGGACCACATGCAAAGCCAAGAGACCAGGTAGGAGGCTATTGTATAAAGTCTGGCAAGAGAAGGTGGTGGCTTGGCCTAGGGTTAGTGTGGAAATGGAGAAAGGTGAATGAATTCAAGGTAGATTTTGGAGACAGAATTGTCAGGATTGGATGGATTGAAAATAGGGGGTGAGAAAGAGGTGGAATCAAGAACAACTCCAACATTTCTGTTTTGAGTAATGGAGAGTAGTATGCTGGTGCTATTTACCAAGAAGGAGGACCGAATGGTGAAATAAGGGGTGGTGAAAATTGAAAGCTTAATTTTGTACTTACTAAGGTTGCATTTCTTGTGCGACATCCAGGGGACATGCCAAGAGGGCCATTGAATATCCAGATCAGGAGCTCACAGGAGTTTAGATTTGGAGATGAAACAGGAATAGATGAGAATTAAATCCACATCATTTCAGTTCAGCAGACTACCACACAGGCAGGCACTGTGATAGGCACTGGGGATTAAAACTTAAATGCAAGCACTGTGATGTTAGGAACAATGTACTATGCTTTTTTTATCTGAAGCAACCAGCGTAGTGCATGGCATATAGTACATATACACTGAAGTAACAAATGATCTAGAAATAAGGTAAGAGCAAAGCCGTTTTTTTAATTTATAGAACTAATTTTCCATTTGTAGTCTTGCTTTTTATTCTCTTATATATATAAGAAATGAACTACTACTGTAAAATCTATTCCATACTGTCAAATAGTAAACGTCCCCCTGAGAGAGCTTTCTGTGTAGCAGGCAGCACATCAAATGACCTAAATTATACTCGTTCTATAGTGTAGACCTATTTCATCTCTACTGTATTCAGTATGGAGTATTTTTATCTCTCTAAAATTTCATGAACATTTTAAAATTTACTTAAAAATTATTTTGTTGTTAGAAAAAAATCTTTTTCTTCACATTATTTTTTATTGCCTAATAGAAGTTACCTTATTCTTTCATCCATGACTCCATAGACATTATTAAATTCAAATTAAAACAAATTTGCTTTCGTGCATTTAATACATATCTTTATTCTTGTTTACCATAGGGATGACAGTAAGTGCTAATAAAGATGGCTTGGGGATGATTGTTCGAAGCATTATTCATGGTGGCGCCATCAGTCGAGATGGACGGATTGCTGTTGGGGACTGCATCTTTTCCATTAATGAAGAATCTACCATCAGTTTAACCAATGCCCAGGCACGAGCGATGTTGAGAAGACATTCTCTTATTGGGCCTGACATAAAGTAAGTAGCGTTTGGATTCCAGTTTGGCTTGGGAAACTCAGGAATTTCAATTCATTTATCAGACTTTTTTTTCAGTATATACCTGTTGGTAGAAAAGTTATCACCTATTTATTTAACATAAATCACTTAAGAATTTGATTTTCTGAATAGTTCTTGATTGCCGTGTTTCTCTTTTTTAAGATTTTAACAGTGTTAAAAGTACTGCTTTATGTTTTTAATTGTATTTCTCAAATGATTTCTGCAACAACCCTTCCTATCAACCTTTGAATTGAAGAAGTTGCCACTGGGAAAACTGGTGGCATATTTGATACTATCAGTGGACCAAAAGGCCAGCCAGTGGTAGCAAGAGATACAGTCAAACCTTGGTAAATATTCCATGAGACATGTCTTTCCCAGAGTTTCTGGGGCTTCAACAACCAGCCTGGAGCCAGACTTTAGGGCTGCATAGAGACATCTTTCATCGAGCAGGAGGATCCCCTGAGGATCTTACCTACACGTTTGGGTTGGCCTCAGTATGAGGAGTTGTGCACTACCAGATTCATCTCTGTGGATCCTAAAACTAGGCCAATTCTTAAAGGGCCAGGCATGGAAAACACCCTATTAGAACAGTTCAAGGGAGGCAGGGCCAAGAGGGCAGAGTAGTCAGATGCTGCCAGTGGACCCACTTACAACAAAGACCTGAAAAAACAAGTGATTTGATTATATATGCCAATCTGGGAGCCCTGAACATCAAAGGCAGAGTTAAGGAACCGGTCTGAATGGAAGGGGGAGGGAGAGACAGTTCGGAAGCAGTGAGGAGTTGCCAGACCTGACCCTGCAAAAGCCTGAGCCCTTCAGGCCTGAGCAGCTCGGGGGTGAGTGGTGAGGCAGGCAAGGGGCGGTGCTCAGGAGGTGCGTTTTCTGCACCAGGAGAGACCCAGCACCAGAGAGTCTGCATGGCCACCCAGAACCAGTGAGAAGCAGCCCTCATCGGCGAAAGATAAGTACTTGCGTACGGCTTACCACATGGATCAAAAACACCCCCCTTAGGGAAGAACCTCTCTCCCATTTACCTCCCTGCTCCAGACCAACTTCAGCAATTGCTGAGTCCCCTGGGCCAGAAGTAGGATCCCTCACACGCCCGGAACCATTCCCCCGCCTTAGAGAGTGAACAAATTAACAAAAGGGAAAAAATAAACTGCTGGTTCCCCTAAGCCAGGAAACCAGGGTAGGCACAGCTTCTTTGCCTAGGCACAGGCATAAGGAATCCACAGACTTTGAGTGCCTTTCCCCCTGCATAGACTTGTGTGGGCCATCTCAACAGCATAGGCACTCATTACTGTAGTACAACAGGGTATATACTGGAACTCTAACTTTAGCTGTTTCAAGTGTGAAGTGGCAGGTTCTTGACATTTGACACTGCTCTGCCCATTAAGCAGGGTCTTCACCTACCCACTTCAGGGGCCTGAGAACTGGTGGCTTCACCCATGCCACCTAGCCACCTGCGATAAGACGTGCCCCCTAGTCCTTACAGCCAACAGTAGTAGGTGCTCGAAGTCTGGCTGCAAAACCCACCCACCTGTGCACTCTAGGAAACAGGGACATGCCTTCCTCCTGGGCACTCGGGGGCAGCCATCAGCCCCCTGCCTTGCCCAGAGTGTGTCCCCCTGCTGCAGCCAGATGCCTGTGCCTGCACTAATCATCCATGCCTGTATAGGACTGTAAATGAGAGCCTACACCACACACTTGGTGGGTATCTACCTGGCACCTGAGCTAAATCCATACAGGAGGAGTGGGCGGACTCCTGAGCTCACATACCTAGTAACAGATCTAACCACCTGGTAACAGTGCCAGTGATCAAACTAGCTCATACGAGCAGCCTGTTTGGGCATATCAAAACAAAACAAGAAGCTAGGACACAGTAAGCAAACATAACACTCATAAATATAGTACTTATTGATGGCTCAGAGACAACAGTGAATATCAAATCACATAAAGAGACAGTACATGACGGCTTCAGCAAGCTCCCAAAATAAAGAATCTAGTAATTTTCCAGAGGAGGAAAATTTCTTGCAATTTCTGGAGGCAGAATGCAAAGGATTAATATACAGAATTCTTCAAGAGATCAGGAAGGAAATTAAACAAAATGCAGAACATGCAATAGAGGAAATTAAAAAGATTAGAGAAGAGCATAATAACAAATTAAACAGCCTGCAAGAATCCATAGAGAGACAGCAATCAGAAATCCAGAAGATTAACAATAAAATTTCAGAATTAGACAACTCAACAGAAAGTCATAGGAGCAAAATTGAGGCAATGGAAGTCAGAATTAGTGAGATTGGAGGTAAACCACTTGACACGAACTTATTTGAGGAAAAATCAGAGAAAAGGATTTAAAAAAAGAAGAAACCCTAAGAATTATGTGGGACTCTATCAAGAGGACTAACCGATGAGTGATTAGAGTACCAGAACGGGGGGAATAACAAAATACAGAGAAAATTTTTGAAGATTTGTTGGCAGAAAACTTCCCTGATATCGTGAAAGATGACAAGATATCTATCCAAGATGCTCATTGAACCCCACATAAGGTAGATCCCAAAAGAAAGTC